TTTTTCATACATACTTAATCTTAATACAAATGCCATCAAATATTTAGTATCATACTAACATAGTAACATCTATAGTATATACACAACAGATTAAAAATTTGAAGTCACAGGCCTATAAGTTATGTAAAAAAAGTAACGATTTTATGTAATTATTATGCTAGTTCCAGTATAGAATTCGAATATTTTGCCAACCAGCAGCATGGCGCTCATGTGATAATACACTGATATGCGCTTGAAATCTGGCTTCACTATTTGCAATGTACAACGCCCCGAGTACCTACCTTATCTAGTATAATATAGATATTTGTGGAAAATACTGAAGGAATAGTAGCATTTTTCAAAAGTAAATTTTAATTTCATTTGTTTAATAGATTTGTATGTATATAGAGAAGGAGGTAAATGGAAATCACAATGGAATTTATAAATTTATAAATTTAAGGGGCAAAAATTATTTTGAAAATGAAATTCTTATCACTTTCCTTATCAATAAAAACAATATTTAAGAAAATCCCAATAAATCCTATCAAAAACTCAAAACCCCGGGTTTCCCCTTGGCGAGGTGGCTGTTGGTACTCTCCCGGACCAAAATCCACCAAAAAAGCAAAATCCAAAAGGGGGAGGAGGTGCCCCCGTTCCCTAAAGCGGAAAACGGTAGTCTTCATAATAAGAATGGGTTCCCCCTTGGTCTGAGGTCTTTAACTTGAATTCCGGCCGAGTTACACTCAACTCAAAATGTGGGGTCTTATAGAGAATTTTCCTGGCTTTCCGAATATATAGGCTTAATGCGTCGCCACCTTCCGGAACTTGGTCGGAAAAATGAAAAACGGCGCATGGGTACCTGCACGCGGCAGTACGAAAACATGGTCTCCTGGGCTGGTCGGTCGCATTAATATGCGGGCACATAATGATGTAAGTGAATTTCATGGCGACATCTTGTGGTTGACGGTAATACAAATGTCGGGTGCCTTGAATATAATAAAACGCAACTGGCCTGTTATCACTAGTCGTCCGAGAAAATAGTCCCTTAGCTATAGTCCCCCAACTTCACACCCGTGAAATAATGTGGTAAATTAGGGAAAATACAAGGTATAGAGTTTGGGTTTAAAATAACTCTCTTAAGCTGATGTTTTATTTCATTTCCTGCTGTATCCTCAAAAATTCTATAAGAAATAATATCTTCAGAAACAAAATGCAGTTCATATACTAAATCTTTTTTTGTTAATGTTCTATCGGCTCGTGGAATTTTTAAATTCTATGTATCAATCATGTTCTAAAAAGTAATGAATTATTTACCCTGATATGAACTTTTCATTGAATATACATATACATAATAATATAAATATATAATAATTATTAATTAGTATAAGAAATATCTACCCTGTTTTTTAAATTGATATCTTATATTTCTATTTTTTATGGCGTTACAACTTGCAAGCATTGTATTTTCGTATAGAAGTATGAACATTATGAGCACTCATTGGGTAGTCAGCGCTCCCGGTGGCAATCACAACTGGTGTACATTTTTCAATCAATTTATAATCAGAGTGTTTACACCTCTATATATCCACCTTGGGCAGGGGGCTGAATTATACCAACAATATCATATTTTCGAATTTGTTAATTTTGCTATGTTGTGAAGGCTGATAGTTTATTGCATTTAAATTGGGACAAGAAAGAAAATAAACTATTAAGGGACAACACGCGATACGTATTTAATGACCTATTGGTACACGAGCATAGTCGCAACTAGGGTTACAATTCCACAGTCCACCTAAAAAAACTATTAATTTAAAATAACATATAAGAGGCTTGTATCTAAATAAATAAGGAATATTTTTTGGAAGGGTCTGGAATCGTAGTCGGGGGGGGGGCTTTTTTACAATAGATTATACAATAATAGAACCATAAATACATATATTTAACCATTCTAAACTAGGGGACTATAGATAATACACAGAGGTATTACCTATTAGAGTCTTATCTAAACTAACCTAGGGATATAATGATAATAATTTTTTCAAATTATTATTAATTATAAAATTATAGAGTACCTAATCAGTTTTATATAAATATTAAATTGAGCATAATATGTACAAATCAAATAGGTAGGCAGAAGTATCTACTTACTTTCTGTTTTGAAATATTTTTAATGCTAGAGAATGACAATTTTTCTTGTTTATTAGTAGCAGACAAAGAATCTTTACAGTTCAATAATTTATTTGCTTTTACTTTTTCTGGCAAACTTGGATGTTTTAACTGAAAATAATGTAATTTCAAATTGAAAAAAATATTTTTGGTTGAACTCTGGCTTTTGGGTCTGGGAAAAAAACGCGAAAAAATTTCTAAGTCCATATCACATCTATAATATTATCACTACAGCAAAACTCTGCAGTGTTATATATTATACTACGTAAAAATCACAAAAGTATTCTAAGTTCAAAATAATCAATTTATTCACTCGTTCATTTTCCAAAATATCGCTGCTCAAATTTAGTCCAAAATAATATTTCAAAAGTGTCAACTATAACGACCACCTAGGCTATCGGATTTTTGATTTTTCCATTTTCCGACCGCTTTTCACGGACCTACTTAGCTTTTGGGTCTGGGAAAAAATGTCGAAATATCGAAAAACGTCTAAGAGGTTTTATATTCGTATGCCGTTATAGAAAAATACCATGTAGTCGGATTTTTGATTTTTCCATTTTTCCACAGTTTTTCACTGCCCACGAAATGTACATTATTTATTTTATTAAATATATCAAACAACTATAATTATTGTTGTATTTAATAAATATATTGTCATGATGCATTTATATGTAGTGACATGCTTATGGTCAATGTGGTAATGTATTTAGGTAAATATTATAAAGTAATATATAAGTATTATAGTATTATAAAAATGAAAATAAATAAATAAAATAAATTTATTAAAATAATAACCAAATAAAATTTAATAAAACATAATATTCAGGATTGAAACCTACAGTACATTTTTTTTAATATAACAGATATTTTTAATTCATTTTAGTGGTCATGGAGTGGTAAACCATTCAATCAACTTTGTAGAGACTCCAAAAAATGAGCCACCAATTTGGGTAGGGACTGGCAGATTTAGCCAAGAGTGCTTAGATAAGCAGTGGGAAGGAGTTCGGCCACCAAACCAAGAACCAATCCGCTACCACACGCAGCATATAGAAAGATCGTGGAGGGAATTAAAACGCATCTTAACAAGATGTAATTGCAAGCGGGTGGCGGATTCATAAATTGGCGAATGGATGTATCGGACCAATATACTGAACCGCCTTCCAACAACCAGCGACCGTTTCAAAAGGTTTATGAACGACATTGCAAGGGCATATCCGGGCATTGGATACGAACCAATGAAACGGGACATTGACGATTGTCACTGTCCAGAATGCTAGAGGTACCTAAAATAACCTACCTTGGTAAAAAAAATGTTATGAAATATAACTTTTGTATACCAAGGTTAGTATTATGTCCCGATAATATTGTTTTTAATTCCACAGATAAATTTCCACTCTAGGTGCATATAAACTATAAAAAACCGATAATATTAATTTTTTATTTCCACAGATAACTTCGACAATCCGCCGCTGCGTGAATAGCGCACTCATTTAAAACGGCCCTTTTTAGGGCCACTACATTTTAAAGTTCTTATGATTATATCATATTAAATAAATATATTATTATATATTTAAAAAAATATGATATAAGACATTAAAATAAACAATATATTTATTAAATACAACAATAATTATAGTTGTTTGATATATTTAATAAAATAAATGATGTACATTTCGTGGGCAGTTGTAATTTTTAGTTTTTAAAAATTAACGATATTTGTGGAGCTCTACTTTTTGAATGAAAAAGGAAAGTAACGTACTAGTCATAAAAATAATTTGAAGTAAGGCGAATGCAATTCAAATACGAATATTTTATGTAACGAATAACGTTACGTTACGTTATTACGTTTTAATAATAAAAATAATTAATTAAAAATGGAAAAATAAAAAATGTGACTTCCGGATGTTTTTCTAATACGGTATACGAATAAAAAACCTCTTAGACGTTTTTCGATATTTCGACATTTTTTCCCAGACCCAAAAGCCAAGGGGGTCCGTGAAAAACTGTGGAAAAATGGAAAAATCAAAAATGTGACTACCGGATGTTTTTCTATAACGGTACACGAACAAAAAACCTCTTAGACGTTTTTCGATATTTCGACATTTTTTCCCAGAACCAAGAGCTAAGTAAGTCCGTGAAAAGCGGTCGGAAAATGGAAAAATCAAAAATCCGAAAGCCTAGGTGGTCGTAATAGTTTACACTTTTGAAATATTATTTTGGACTTAATTACTTTGGAAAATGAACGAGTGAATAAATTGATTATTTTGAACTTAGAATACTTTTGTGATTATTATTTATTTAGTATAAATTTTTATTGTGGTACATAAAATTATTATTATGGCAACACTGCAGAGTATTGCTGTAGTGATAATATTATAGATGTGATATGGACTTAACCCAATTTATTAAAATAAAATGCAAACCTATTCTTTTAATTCGCTTATAGATTGAGTGTATCTTCTATATTGTTCTGTGATCAAACAGAGCTAGGTATCTATTTAATAGGTACCTAGGTTGTAAGTAAATACCTAGTGCATTTAAATTAGTTTGAAAAATATTTAATTTGAAAATACAAAATCCTAACTGACACATACTTAATTTAATATATTCAATTGTGTTTAAATAAATGTACTGGAAGTTAATACAATAATGCATTTAACGTAGATAGGTAGTCGAGTTAACAGTTTTATATTTTCTCTATAATTTAAAATTGTTAAGTATAGGTATAACATGAAAATAATAAATAATTCCAACTGTAGGTACATAAACATAAATGTATAAAAATTCCTATGTATGAGATATTAACCTACCTTAATGTGACTCATAAAATTTCCAGTTGATCCTTTTTGCCATGACTAATCTTTGGGCAATGTTGACTGAGCACCAATATTATTACCATCACCTTCGACCAATTTGAAAAATTTTCCATTGAAAATATGACACTCGTTTTGAACAGGCAATGTACTTTGAGAATTGCATGCTTTATTGGGTGTGTCAGCAACATAAAGTTCCCCAGGCTCATCTTCACATAATCTTAGTTTTTTATTGTTAAATTGAACAACAAACGGTTCCATGATTCGGAATTAAATAGGTACCTAACACTTAACATGTCCTTGTAGAGACTAGAGACGTAGAGTAATCACTATTCAGTATTCACTAATGACCAAATACTAACCACACTTTACAACAGTATATAGAAATATAAAATAACGATCTTAATAATAAATAATGATACAAATGCACAGTGGTGTGTATTATTGTATTTATGGTTTGGGGGAGATAGTCCAGTTGTTAATAATTTATAATTATTTGAAATACCAGCTATTTTTAGAAATGTGTACTAAACAAATAATTTTGTTGTAAATACTTGTAATACACTTATCAGTTATACCAAGAGAACTATTGGTTACCAAAAAAAATATTATTATGAAATATTTTTATTTAGATAATTTAGTTAAAATGACGAGATTATTCATCTAAGATAATACATCATATAAACATTTTTAAAACTATCTAGATAAATTTATCTTATTATGCTGAACACTGGTGCCAAGTCACTGGATAACAAATCTGGTGCTTCATTTTGTATTCCCGGGACGTGTTCCGTACTAAAATCTAAATTTGATAGCTGTAGTGACCAACGTGTTAATTTCGAATTTTTGTCTTTGGCCCTGTGTAACCACGCTAGTGCCGAGTTGTCGGTTAGTAATTCAAAATGTCGAGTCTCTAGGTATGGACTTAATTTGTCAGTTGACCAGATTACTTGTTAGGCACTCGCGTTTGACCGCGGCCTTGTTTACGTTTCGCTAAACTTTTTGCTTGCGTAGGACACAAATGTTAATGTTGAATACGTTTCTTGACCGATGAATGTTAACAAAAATGCAACTTTTTTATCCACTTTAATATCATTTAAAACAAAATATTGTTCTAAACGTTCCGCGTATTCACAAAAATCATCACCAGGCATATACAATTCTACTTGCCCTAACATTGTTACTTTAAACTGTAACTGGCTAAAACTTTAACTTATTGACCACACGCACGTGGTTTTCAACATCTTCGTCGCCAATATTATGTATTATTTAATACATTGTAAAATTAAGACTTATGAGCTTTTAAAATTAGACAAATAAAATTGTATTAATGCTAAGTCTTAATAAACACAATTATTTCATTTAATTACATTTTTTAAAATAACAAATCAATATTAAATATAGTTATATACCTAGTTATTTAATTAAGTTTTTAAACGGGTCAGGCCCAATTACATGCATAAAATAATATGATATTATATAATATAGTTATACAATTACAATTATACAATTTATAAAAAAAGTCTACTTAATTTTTTAGTTACATACAAAATAGATCTCATAAAATTGTATTTGTTACTGTTACCCCCTCACTCCAGCATCGACCGACCCTCACGACCACTTAATATGTCTAACGCCCGGCCATTTTTCGAGCGGCCAGCCGCGTACTACTGAGTGTCCGGAACGTCCGTTCACGGACCGTTGGAAGCTGTTGGACCACTGTCACCAGCACTTCTGGCGTCGTTGGTCGACGGAATATTTACACACGTTACAAGAACTAGGAAAGTGGACACGCGACCAACCAAACATCGAAGTCGGACAGATGGTCACCATCAGAGACAGCCAGCCCCCCCTTTGGAGTGGCGACTTGGGCGGGTGCTCGAGGTGCTACCAGGTGTGAGAGTTGTGGGCGTTCTGACCTACGGTATAGTCACTCGTCCTGCTGCTAAGCTCGTTTTATTACTTAATTGCCATACGGCCTATTGTTTTGTATTTTTTTGCAATTATTACTTATTTCATTCTGTTGAATTATTAACTATATATATGTTATCATGTCGAATTATTATTTGCCTTACCTGTTGGTTTGTGTTATTTATTATTGTATTATTTATTCGTGACCCTATTGTCACTTGTCAACGTATTTAGCGTTACCTATTATTATTATATTTATGTCCCTTCTCACATTTTGAGATAATTGTGATTTTATGATATACCTACTTACCTAATTTGTCTATTTTTCATTTACATTTATATTTTTTTTGCTTTCCGGCCTTTTAATATGTATAAACTAGGTCTCAGTATCGGCGGCGTTCAAAGAGGGATGTGAAGCTGCGCCTCCCATGGGTGAGTATGTATGAACTTCCCGCCGCTCCCAGTGCAACATTCGGCAACCGGTCTGCCAAACAGCGCGTCGCGCGGACACCGTGCTCCGGCCAAGTCGCCGCCGTCGACTAAAAGTTGTCTTTTTCGTACGCTCGACTTGAGCGGACCGTGCGTGTGTCGCGTCCGGCCGTTGTTCGGTGCCGTTTTGAGACAACTTCGTGTGGTGCGATTTATCCGCGCATGTTTGCATAATATATTGTTTCGCGCTACGTATTAATACGCTGTCGCGCCATCCGACGTAATTGTGTTTTCGACGTCGTACCGATTATCATCGACCGGTTGTCCGTTGAGCGACCGTTTACTCGCCGTCGCGGGTTTGCCGCCGATATTCGCGCACGTACTATTTGTTACTTCGTGTCGATACATCATAGTCGTCTGATTCCGACGGGCTACAGTTCATACCGGGTATATCGTTTGCCGGCATTATTATTATCGTTTGTGTATATCCCTCGTGCGACGCCGCTTCAGTGCCGTGATTACGTAATCCGGTCATTCGCCGTCGTCCGGAGCCGCCGTCGTCCGGAGCCGCCGCCAACCGGGCCAACAGCCGCCGCTCCCTGTTCACCTTCGTGTCATCCACGGACTAAGATATACAGGACTGGAAATGGAGTATTATTAGTGGAACCCAAATGTTTTCATTTGGTACATCACGGACACCCAGCGCCATCTATTAAGTGGATTTAGCATTGAACTAAAATAAAATGAATACTAAAACAATTTTTATTATAATTATTATAACATAATATTATTCTTTATTTCTTTTCAACATAGCAAGGCATTTTACATCCTCATAATAATAAAGTTGGATATAATATGAGTTAGTACATCGTGTTTGTGTTCAATACATGGAAAATTTATGAACTTATTAGTTTCAAAGAATGGCTAAATACAAATAATTATGTTTTCTTACTTCCAAGTCATTACACCCACTATAACTGTTAATCAAATCTTCTTTCCTAAAATGTTCTATACAGACGTATGTCACTTTACGTTTATGATTACCATTTACTTCATTAATAATTTCCTCCCACGATTCTCGAACTTTAAACAACTGAACATTGGACCGTTCCTTAGTGGTACATAAAAATACTGAACACTGGCGAGGCATTTTAATTTTATAATTTCAACACAAATGTAGAAAATAGTCGTAACTATTTAAATGAATCAAGCAGTAGATCTAGACGCTCTAGTAAGTATCTAAATTTCTAAAGTCTAAATACTCTACTATTTACTAATGTAATGAATATAAAATATGCAATGAGACCAATGTAATTTATTTTTCTGTGCCAATGTATTTATAGAGAAGTAATGGTAGATAAGCTATAAGCCTAGTAGATAGCGCTATGTGTCCCACATGTACCTATTGAAAACATTTGGTATCCAGCCCTCTACCACCCTCCAGCCATATCGTTACCAGTCCTGTATATCTTAGTCCGTGGTGTCATCGCATCGTCGCAGCAGATGTTCCAGTCGCCGCGCCGTCGCCGATACACCGCTCTACCGCGGCGCATGTGCCGACCCGTAATCAAATTATTATCATTATCATTATTGTTATTGCCCTATCAGTTATATTGTTTATTATTATTTTGAGTTGCGCTCGGGAAAAGACGTTTTCCCGGCCAACATACGCACATTTGTCGTGTCTCATAATATATTATTGTCTATTATTTGCGACGTGTTATCATTATATATATATTGGTCACCTATCCCGTCCAAAACTGAACACCACTTTCCTTTATTCTAGTGGCTGCCCAGCCAAATGCTGAGTGAATAGCTGGCATTCCGAACAACTATAGTAAACTGCGCCCGGAATTTTTTTGGTTCTAAAATAAGTAAAGTAAATTGCGCCCGAGATTTTTCGCGGTCTAAAAAGGGTATAGTAAATTGCGCCCAAAGTATTTACTATCTTGAATTCATCGCTACCTATTATGTGTATTTTAAAAATACTGTTGTTCATTTATTGGTCGATAAGCCGAACGTTCATCGCTATAATCGATATAATATTAGCGATATCAATGCCTTTAGGCGTATACAACGACTTTACGTACAGCCCGTAATACATACGTACATTTTAGTAAGCCGTTTGCACGCAACAGTTAAACATTATATAAATATTATGGATATTATACATACTGAAAGCTAGAAAAAAAACGAAGTTATAATATACCAAACATTTAAATTTTCCAAATTAAAAATGAGGTTGTCTTGCGAAACAAAGTGGCGATGTGCTGTAAAAACTGATGTGATGCAGTACAGTCCAGTTTGAAGTACAGAGTGAAAATGGGTCACAATGTATATGTAGTAGATTTTACTATACCAAGTTGTACCTACATGTTTAGATTTTCAAAAGTATCATTGGCCATGCAAACATATATGTGCATTGTTCATATATGTAGTATGTACCAGGTTATTCATTTAATGATCTACCTGATAAATTCAAAAATAATGTTTACATATATCTACAGACCCTATAGGTACTCAATAACCAGCCCACAAGAATAAATAAGTACAATTGATCTAAATATGCAAAATACTACAACTGCTGCTACTACAAGATTAATATTAAAAGAACATAAAAGTACAAGGGCTGAAAACATAGATAATAGGTAACAGTAACCTACCAATACAAATTAGAGAAATTCTGAAAAAAAATACAGACCAGACTAACTTAATAGACCAAAGAGAATATTCTGCAGAATGGTTACAACAATTAAAGGTTCTAAATAGTGTTTATGAAAAGATGAGTGGTAAGGCAAATAAAGAAGATGGGTTAAACTTATTACCTTCTAAACATAATTCATCAGCATTATTAGACTTGCCAAAAAGTACAAAAAAAAAAAGAACTAACCAACAAGACAAATTAATATACTAATATACTA